GCTGCGGGTCGGCATCAGAAAGGATTACAGTTGAAGAACAACACTGCCGTCAGCAAAACAACTTATCCCGCTGTGCTGCTTATTCCAGTCTCTTCTCCTTATCAGTTGTTTTTTTCCCTTTCTCTCATACTGCCTTGACAAATTTTACCTCCACCGCAATTGTTCTACTGCTTGGAGCATTTCATCCAGTGTACTCTTTTTTTCCTCTTACACCCGCTACTATCCACTACCATTTCCAAGCCATTCAAGCGTTACACGCTGCAATATGTTGTCCCGAGTGGCGCGACAGAAAAATGCGCTCTTCCATCTGCGCAAGGCAAATGCCTCTCGCACCTTGGCCGCTTCCTCACCCATGCGCCTGCAGTCAAGATCTAGTCGCCTAACAACGATACCACCCTCGCAATGTCTTCCGTCGCAGATTCGGCCTCGGAGATCATCCTTTCAGTCACAACGCCACCTCGCTACTGCTGTTGATCAATCTGTCCTCGAGGGTGGATCTTACATGTCTCTGGACGAATCTTCGTACACTTCAAACATCGCAAATCAAGGCTCTTTTCACGATCACTTCGACACGTCATCGCTGATCGTCCTTAATGAGACACCGCAGACCCAACCCAAAATTTTGAGAAAAATCCGGGGAATCGGCGGTGACGAGGATGAGATGTTGGCCAACTTCAACATGTCCCTGCGCGTGGGTCGGTTCGACCGCGCAGCGGCTTTGATCAGCCGCCTGAAGACATATTATGCTGTTGATTCTGCAGAGTTCTTGGCCTTGCACAATCATTATCTCAAGGCGATGGTTGCACACATGATCTATACTAGACAGCCAGACATGGTTTTGCCGCTGCAAAAATGGTTTGAAGTTGATATGCCGGCCGGAGGTGTCAATCCAGATGCCACTACCTTTGCGGTCATGATTCGAATGTCACTGCGCATGCTACACGGATCTAAGCGGGATCGGTCCGTGCGTCGATATTGGGGCCTCGCCAAGAGTGCAGGTCTCCATGAAGATATGTTGGCCAGTGAGGTCTTGACTGATCTTGACCTGGGTGAACTATCTAAAGTCAGTCCGAATAAATGTGTATATACTTCCGTTTGCTTTTGCTGACTCGTATGAATCTCGCAGATTTGTTATTCCGACCTATCCACGCCGATCATGTCCAACGAAGTCGATGAGCCCCTACCGGATCAGCACACGCAACAGCTCGATGACGTTCCCGAGGTCCTCGCTGCAGATCAAAAGGGTCTCGGCCTCAGCTCCTTGAAAGAATCATTGTCACTCTTCTCTGACGACGTCAACATCTCGCTGCCGGAGGGTTTCAAGGGGACCGAGCAAGAGAAAAGAGAGCTGTACGCCCAATTACGACAGCAGCGATTGGAGTCGGATACCATGAAGACGGCGTCAAAGCGTTGGCGCACCGAGTTCGAAGACCGAGTCAAGGCAGGCGTCGATGTGGCTTCGGGCAAGTCCAGACTCAAGGCAGTGATGAGCCAATGGCATTCAGACCTGTCTAGCGCGATCAAGACAGAAATCAAACTCGCACAAGAAGCCGAGACTCAGCCCATGCGAACTGAGGAACAAAAGGCTCGGTGTGAGTACGGTGTTTACTTGCAGTCTCTGGACTCGGATCGCTTGGCTGCAGTAACGGTACTTTCGGTCATGGATGTCTTCACCCGAAATGGAATGCAGAAGGGCACGAAGGTCTCCACTGTTGCTGCGTCGATCGGAAAAGGTGTTCAAGACGAACTGATTGCAGAGGCATATCTCGAGAAGAATTCATCGGGTGATACCAGGCGTACCAAGATGGTCAAGGAGATGCTTGCTGATCGCAGAAGCAAAGACGGCCGCCTGCAGTGGAAAGCCATTTCTGAAAATCTGCAGAAAGAGCATGAGGAGTTCGCATGGACCCCACGAGTTACTGTCAGGATTGGAGCTGTGCTAATGGGTCTGCTTTTCGACGTCGCCAAGGCTCCCGTGAAAAGCACAGATCCAACAACTGGCAAGGTGACTACATCTATGCATCCTGCGTTTTTGCACGCCTACGAGATGAATTTTGGTAAACGCCTGGGCTTGTTCCACATGAATCAGGAAATCATCGACATCATTAGCAGGGAACCCCCAGCGGATTTGCTCGGTCGCCATCTTCCGATGATTTGCAAACCTCAACCGTGGACAGGATCCAAGAAAGGCGGATATCGCCTCTATCAGAGCAACATCGTTCGGTCGACGCCTGGTGAGACCTTGCAACCAGCCTACGTCAAGGCCGCACTGGAAAATGGCGGCTTAAAGGATATCCGCAAAGGCCTCGATGTGCTCGGAAACACCGGCTGGGTGATCAATCCAGACGTCTTCAACGTCATGCTCGAAGCTTGGAACTCCGGCGAGAGCATCGCCAGTCTCGCGCCACTCGATCCGGATCTGCCCATTCCTCCCAAGCCGGAAGCAGACGCAGGCTTCGCTGCTGAGCGCGACTGGCAGCTGCAGATGCGTGACATTGAAAATCTTCGGTCAGGTTATCACTCAATGCGGTGCTTCCAAAATTTCCAGCTGGAAGTCGCACGTGCTTTCCGTAACGAAACGTTCTACTTGCCGCATAACATTGACTTCCGTGGTCGGGCCTATCCTCTCCCGCCTTATCTGAATCAGATGGGCGCTGACAATGCCCGTGGTTTGCTACTTTTCAGCGAAGCAAAGCCCCTTGGTGAGGGCGGTCTGCGTTGGCTGAAGATTCAGATTGCCAATCTCGCAGGCTTTGACAAGGCCAGCATGTCTGAGCGTGAGCAGTACGCAATGGATCATCTTGACGACATCTTGGACTCCGCGAACAAAGGTCTCCATGGTAAACGCTGGTGGCTGAAGGCCGAAGATCCCTGGCAATGTCTTGCTGCCTGTTGCGAGCTTCGAAATGCTTTGGCACTTCCTGACCCGACGCAGTACGCTTCTCGTTTGCCCATTCACCAGGATGGTTCGTGCAACGGACTTCAACACTATGCTGCTCTTGGTGGAGATCTCGTTGGCGCACAACAAGTCAACCTAGAGCCATCTGATAGACCCTCTGATGTTTACACTGGTGTCTCGGAGTTTGTCAAAAGGTCTGTGGCGAAGGATGCTGCCGAGGGTCATCAGGTCGCAAAATTGTTGGACGGTCGTATCACCCGAAAGGTCGTGAAGCAGACAGTCATGACCAACGTTTATGGTGTGACGTTCATGGGTGCAATGCGTCAAGTTCGCCGCCAACTCAATGATCATTTCCCTGATCTTTCGAGTGAGATGAAAAAAGATGGTGCGCTTTATATTGCGCGAAAGATCTTCGAGGCCCTAGGTTCCATGTTCAATGGTGCCCACGAGATCCAGTATTGGCTTGGTGATTGTGCCACGCGCATCACGCAGTCTTTAACTCCCGATCAGATCGAAGCTATGTCAAACGAAGCCTTATCTCCCTCCCAGTCAACAGACAAGGGTGCCAAGGCCAAGATTGATCCCTCGAAGAAGTTCCAATCCACTGTCATCTGGACCACTCCCCTGGGTTTGCCCGTCGTGCAGCCATATCGCACTCGGAAAGCCCGTCGCGTGGTGACCTCCCTCCAAACGGTCAGCATCGTTGACCCCAGCGCCGAAGATGTGGTCTCTCGCCGAAAGCAACTGCAGGCCTTTCCTCCCAATTTCATCCATTCCCTCGATGCTACCCACATGATCATGTCCGCGAACGCTTGCCACGATGCCGGTCTGACTTTCTCCGCTGTTCATGATTCCTTCTGGACCCACGCTAGCGATGTTGACTCAATGAACTCTATTCTTCGTGATGCGTTCGTGCACATGCACTCGGATGACATCGTTGGACGCCTCGCTTCCGAGTTCAATGTTCGCTATGGCAAGAACATCTTCCTTGCAAAGATTGACGCCAACAGCGAAATCGGCCGGGCACTTCGAAAGAGCCGTAAGGCCAATGTGCGCAACGCCAAGCTCGTTGAATTGATCGACGAGCATCGTCGACAGACGCTCCTGCGATCAGATGACCCTGCTGATCAGGCTGAGGGTAGGGCTATGGAAACTCCAGCTGCCATCTTCGAGAAGATGGGTGGTACGGACGACCTTCTGGCCATGGCTAGCACCCTTGGTGAGACCACCGTTGGTCACGTTCCCGACGACTTGGCTGCCGCTGAGAGGGGACCTTCCTCCAACGTGGACACCAGTGACCCAGCCATTCAGAGCTTGTTCACTGAGATTGAGATGATGGATTCCCAGTCTTCCGCCGCCGATGCGGAAGCGGAAGACGGTATGGCGGCTGAAGAGACGGCTGGCGAAGAGAAGAAACCATCCAAGCAGCGCAAGAGACAAAAGCCCCAGACCTGGCTCTGGCTCCCTCTGCGATTCCGCCCCGTCCCAACCAAGGGCTCTTGGGACCTAAGCCGGATTCGCGATTCCCAGTATTTCTTCTCTTGATTTCGATTTACCATTGAGATGCATGGTGTGTACGATTTGAGACGCATGTCATCGGGCGTTCTTTCTTGCATGGTGTTATGGCGGTGCTCGTCGGTGATGCTCACCGTTACAACCCGGCGGAGTAATTTTGTTTCTTTGTTTTTGTCCTATTTTTATTCTTCTTGGAGCAACGTCAGCGTAGGACACGTTGTTCATCTGTACATTAGGTGCCCCGGTGATTTCCTCACATTGCATAGCGAGAGCACATGACATACTACATTCACACATAATATCATGACAATGGCCTTATACTTCATCCTCACATGATTCGTCCACAAATAAGCCCTGCTCACTATGACCTTGAAGCATATGTAGGTAGGAGTACCTTGAACAGGATTATCTTGGACAAGACGAGACCAGAACCTGCTGAAAGATGGTTATCCGATACGGGTATATTGAACGAAGACAAGTTGAAGCTAGTAACTAAGTAGCCTCAACTCTCTGATGTCAGCTTCACCTATTGGGCTATTGCCAAAACCCATGATGTGGGCAAAGACTTTCATTTCTAAGCATCGTTGATCGACTGGCCCAGTGGTGAAGGCGCCCGTCTTACACACGGGAGATCGCAGGTTCGAACCCTGCGTCGATCAGTTTTTAAGGTGTTATTCGGCCGTGCTACGAGCCGACGAGCCTATGAAGGTCGTCGAGTCCCATCCTCAGATCTGCTTGGGAGACCGTCTTGGCGGGCCTGAGTAAGCAAGCGGTTGCCCGATCATACCTACTTCCATACCCCTACTCGTAGCCTGTAGGTGTGCTTGTGGAGAACAAGTCCTGGCCCCGCTTTTTTGCCGATATGGATCGACCCGGTTCGAGACTGCTCTCTCGCACGAGAGGATGGAATCGGTGCCTTTGGAATGAGTCACGGACGTTCATCACCTAGGCTTCACCCTTAGTATCATTACTGTATCAGAGTTGATACTGAAATCGGAGTAGGAAAATCATTCTGTCTTACACGGTGAAGCACGCAGCGAAAGAGAGCACAAATTACAATTGTCCCAATCGTTGGATAATTGGATTACTGCCTGTACGGTGTACCTCTAAAGTCTGTATGCCTACCGAGATATGAACTGTAAGATATCTAAAACTGGGCATCTACTTAAGAAATACATATTCCATAGTGCCTAACAGCATACAGATAAATTGCAGGCTGATCCCGCGGAAGGTCAAATCCTTACCTGGGTGAACCAACTCTACACGACCTGAATGAATGGATAGGCAACGAGCGATGGCATATACACAGCGAAACTGACCAGATAGTCCTTCCACCACGATTTCACTTAAATCGACGTAACAGTAGCACGAGCTTACTAAGTAACTCCACTGCATCAGTGCGTGATAGGATGCCCTGTGTAGTGTGTAACTGTATACAATTCACTGTATGTACTTGGCCTCCGGTAGTCACGAATCACGATACTCGTGAAACTGAACGGACAAGTCTTTCCCGAGCAAATGCCGCTAAACGCTGACGTGCTCACGCATGAGTCAGCAAAGACGCCGACGGGTCACGGGGTCCCCCGCAGTTGCGCAGTCAATGCAGTCTGTTTGCACTGTTTGCTCGGCAGCATGATCGATGTCGTGATCATCGGCCAATCAGCAACCATATAATCTAACCCCGATGGCGGAGGAGGATTGCATGCTCGAGGGGAAATACCGAAGCCATCGCACGTTTTTATTTTCTCTTTGAGATCTCTGATACATCAAAAACGTACCAAGTCGAAGGACGCGCGGGATCCTTTTTCGAGTCATTGATCACCGACGAGGCTCATTCAGTATCCTTGGTGAACCTGCCCTTGACGTGTTGCAGATCACAAGGTACCGATAAGTGTCCAAACCGCCGGTGATTGATCTTTCCCACCTTCTGCAGCGGGTAGTACAACAACTTGTCCACGATGGCATCGCTTTCCAATGCCGGTGAGGCAGGTATGTACACTCTGAAATGGGATATTCCAAAGTGGGAGATGATCTGATCTGACCTTTGGTTTCACCAGTTGCGAGAATCGCCTACTTGTCAAGCGATCTGGTCTTGTCTGTGCAGCCCTCTTTGCAGACAGACTCGCTGTTCTCAAAAACCTTGAAGGCCCTGAAGAGCAAAAAGACTGCCAGTATTCTCTCCAATCAAACACCAGTGGTGAGTCTTTGAAACGGTCATTTGCCTTTTCCAGAGAAAGTGCCTAGTTACCATGGAAGCTGGTAGTAGCTAACATACACATCTCCCTGTAGGTACAAGCTGTGCGTCACAATGAGGACCCTCTACTATCTGCCTTCCATCCTCTTCGCCAGCGGGAGTCGGTCTCCGTAGTTGCTAGCTCCTCCATTCTCATCACAGCTGTGCCCCATCTTTACCGATTGGCGAACTTCCCCGTTGTTATTCACATCGCACTCGATTCGTCACCGTACCCCGACTACTCCGTCATCAGTTCTATTCGTCAATGCGGGTTCACTTTCCTGCACTCAGAGACCCTTCAAGAGGCCCAGGATATTGCCTTGACTGCACACGCTTTGGCTCGCAAGTCCGGCAAGGGTGTCATTCACTTCTTCGATCCTGCCAATTCGATCAAAGACTCGCCCATTGCGGTTGAGAACATTGACCTCGTGAAGAAAACGCTGAACTTGAGTGGAGCCAGTGCGACTCATTCTTCAACCGAGGCCGAAACCCTGTACACCGAGTCTGGCCGTGTTGCCACCGTATCCGCCGACAGTGTGGGAATTGCTCCTGCTGGTCAGGGCGAGGCACCCGCTGGATTGACTGTCCCTTCTCAATCCCAAACCCCTTTGGCTGCCAGTGTTGACAACTCATCCGTCGGTTCCTCTCGTCGTGAGAGCAGCGCGGGTAGCGAGACTCCCAGCTCTGTTGCTACTACCGTGGACTATTCCAGCGTTCGTCCAGTGAACGCCGCCGATGTCTTCGAATGGACGCGCCAGATTTGGGCCACCATCTCCAAGGAGACGGGCCGGACGTACAGTACCATCGAGTATACTGGTCCTGCCGATGCAAAGTCTGCCGTCTTCATTTTCGGTTCGACCGGTGTCTTCGCGGATGCCCTCTCTCAGGTGGAGACTGACAGCGAGCTTCGCAACCTTGGTTTAATCACCGCTCGTCTTTACCGACCCTGGGTTGGCAGCCAGATTGTCAACTCTATTCCCAGCTCCGTTGACAAGATTGCCGTGTTGGAACAAGTGCGGAAAACCACCAAGTGGGGACCGTCATTCATGGACCTTCTCTCCAGCGTGACTACTTCTTCCGTCCGAGGGGAGGCTCTGAAGATTGTTGGTTATCGTCTGGGGTATGTTGAGCCTTCAACAGCTCTGCAAGCGCTTCGTGGTATTGTTCAAAATCTTCAGGCTGCTTCTCCTATCCAAAATCTTGAAGTTGGCAGCGCCCAGGCTCCCTCGGCCCAGGAGAGTCTGGAACAGCCTCACATCGAAAATGCGTACCTGAAGATTTTGAATCAGCTCTTTGGTGATCGCCTGTATATCGCCAATCAGCTGGGTGCCAAGAACGCCGGCATTTCCTCGACCATCGCCGCAAGCCCTGAATACGGCTTTGGCTCTCTCCTTGCCCGCAAAGAACATCGCAAGCGCTTCATCCGCGAAGTGGAGGAGGCCTCCAAGTCTACGACCTTTGCCACCGATGTTCCCAAGTCTTGGTTGTCTCGCTGGGCTCTGAGTGTCAACGATGCCGCCAAGGCGAACAAACTCGCCCCCGAGGTGATCGCTCGCCTGGCAAATGATGGCTCCAAGTTGTCGCGGCAGCTTTTGGGATCCAAGAAGCTCTTCTTCGAAGAGTCTCAGTGGCTTATCGGCTCTGATGCATGGGCCTACGACCTGGGTAACTCTGGCGTTCACCACGTACTTGCATCTGGCGCCAATGTCAACATGTTGATCATTGACTCCCAGCCTTATTCCGAGCGTACTGCTTCCGATCCCACGCGCCGGAAGAAGGATATTGGTCTCTACGCTATGAACCTTGGCAACGCTTATGTCGCATCTACTGCTGTGTACAGCTCCTACACTCAAGTCCTGCAAGCCATGGCTGAGGCCGAGCAATTTGACGGCCCGTCAGTCGTCGTCGCGTACCTTCCTTATCACCAGGAAAATGACTCCGCTCTCACTGTCTTACAGGAGACTAAGAAGGCAGTTGACCTTGGTTACTGGCCTCTGTACCGGTGGAACCCGGCCAATGAGGCTAAGGGTGAATCCAAGTTTGCTCTTGACTCCGAGCGCATCAAGCGTGAGCTTGAGGAGTTCCTTCGTCGGGACAACCAGCTCACTCAGCTCATGAACCGTCAGCCCAAATACGCCCCTGTGTTATCTGAATCGTACGGCACCGAGGTCCGTGCTCTGCAGAAGCGCACGGCCAAGGACTCGTACGAAAAGCTTTTGGATGGTCTTTTCGGGGCGCCTCTCACTATCCTTTACGCTTCGGATGGTGGCAATGCGCAGAATCTCGCCAAGCGCTTGGGCAACCGCGGCCGCGCTCGTGGTCTCAAGACCATGGTGATTGCCATGGACGAGTATCCGGTCGAGGACTTGTCCACTGAGGAGAATGTCGTTTTTATCTCTTCCACTGCCGGCCAGGGTGAGTTCCCCGTTAACGGGCGCGGTCTCTGGGAGCACGTGAAGAACACTGGTGATCTTGATTTATCTCCCATCAAGTACTCGACGTTCGGTCTTGGTGATAGCCATTACTGGCCACGTAAGGAGGACAAGATCTACTATAACAAGCCTGCCAAGGATCTGGACGCCCGTGTCGCATTCTTGGGAGGTCAGAAACTCACCGACATCGGCCTCGGTGACGACCAGGATCCTGATGGGTACCAGACTGGATACTCTGAGTGGGAACCCCGCTTGTGGAAGGCTCTTGGCGTCGACAATGTGGAGGGCTTGCCCGAGGAACCTGCGCCCATCACCAACGAGGACATTAAGATTCAGTCCAACTTCCTCCGTGGTACTATTCTTGAAGGTCTTCGGGATGAGTCAACTGGCGCCATCTCTGCAAGTGACCAGCAATTGACCAAGTTCCACGGCACCTACATGCAAGATGACCGTGATCTTCGCGATGAGCGCAAGGCCCAGGGACTCGAGCCCGCGTACAGCTTCATGATCCGTTGTCGACTGCCCGGAGGCGTTGCTACACCAAAACAGTGGCTGCAGATGGATGCCATCAGCAGCTCTCACGGCAATGAGACTATGAAACTCACTACTCGTCAGACCTTCCAGTTCCACGGCGTCATCAAGCGCAAGCTTCGTGGAGCCATGCAGGAAATCAACAAGGCTCTGATGGATACCCTTGCAGCTTGCGGTGATGTCAACCGTAACGTCATGTGCAGTTCTCTCCCTGAATTATCCACCTTCCACCGTGAGACATATGTCTTTTCCAAGAAGATCAGTGAGCACCTGCTTCCTTCAACGACGGCCTATCACGAGATTTGGCTGAAGGACGAGAACGACAAGAAGGTTCAGGTGGCTGGTGATGCCATTGTTGACCACGAGCCTCTCTACGGTCCTACCTATCTGCCCCGGAAGTTCAAGATCACGATTGCCATTCCTCCTCACAATGACACCGATGTTTACGCTCACGACATCGGTC